TGGTGTACTTACATGCAAGCAAAACACTCATGCACACAAAATAAAAATAATAAGATATTTAAAAAATAACTAAGTAAAATTATTTTGTTCCCCAGTATATTCCAAAGTGACTGAAGCCAGGTGTGGTGGCACACACCATTAGTCCCAGCACTCAGGAGGCAGAAGCAGGTGGATCTCTGTGAAATTGAAGGCAGCTTGGTCTACACAGCAAGTTCCAGACCAGCTGGACCTACAGGGAGACCCTGTCTCAAAAAAGAACAGAAAGAAAGAAGAGGAAGGAAGGGAGGGAGGGAGGGAGGGAGGAAGGAATTGAAAATTGTGCATTAATGAGAGACCAATTCTCTAAGAATGGGCCCATTTCAAATTTATTGATCATTTATCATGATTTTTGTTTGTTTGGATACAATCTCTCCATGTAGCCCAGGCTGTCCTTGAATCCTCTTGCCTTAGCCTCCTGAGTTTTGGGACTCCAGGTGTGTACCATTGCACCTGGCCCTCACTTGGGAGTTCTCAGGCCTTTGGGCTTATGGATAAGGGAGCATAGGTGGGGTCAGCCTGACTTCCCCTGATGGCAGACCCGAGTCTATCCTCCAACCCAGGTTTGGGTGGCACTTGGTCTGAGAAGCACAGCCTCTCCTGGGGATTGGAGGAGGTGGGGTCCACCTCCAGATCACTGCAGGAACACAAATTAGAAGGTCCAGCTCAGCTCTGTGCCACCAAAGGCGACTGTGTCTCCCATAGAGAGAAGGCCCCTGGGCACCATCTTCTAAGAACTAAAAAACAAGGGAACTCAGTCACTTAGAGAAATCCTAGCTTTGCCTGCATTTCCTGTGAGGGTGAACACCCTGCAGGGTGTCACCCGCCCCGGTGGCAGGCCACTAGCACCTTGTGTCCCCAAGGAGGCCGGTTCACTACCACCTTGTTTGTTAGGCTAGCAGGGGCCCACAGCATGGTGGCAGATCAGATCTGGGAAGTGGGGTGACACTGAAGCTCCAGAGGGACACCGGACACCCCTCACCACCTCTGCTTACCTGGTAGTTGGTGAGATGTAAAGAAAAATACGTGAAGCCAAGAGGGCTGAAGAGCAGAAGGATGAGAGGGAGGTGTGTGGGAACCCATCTGAGCCAGGCTGCACACTGAAATTGCCCCGCATTAAAAATTCGCCGGCCAGCAAAGTTTCCAGGGATTTGTAGTAATTAGATGACAGAATGCTGGCAAACCTCGGGCTTGCCAAAGATGGTACTCAGGGGTCAAAGACGCGACACTTTCGGCAGGGTAATTTGTAAGTGTCAATCACTGGAAGCCAACAGAGAGAAGGATCTGAGGGTTGCATTCTAACGAAGCGAGTCACCGCCTGCCAGCGCTGCACTGCAGCCGGACCCCCAGCCTGCCACACCAGCTTGGTGCCCACAGTGGGTGCAGCCCACTTAGGACTCCCCCCTAAGGCCAGACCCAATTCTCCAAGTTCTGTCTTGAGTTTCCCTTTGACCTTTGATCTCTTTTGCAAGTGACAGTCTTGTCTTTTTCATGGAGAGGTCCTTGTCACAGTAGTGGCATCTGAGGGTGAGGTGCTCTTTGCATATGTAAGAGGGTGGCCACTCGGAGTCAAGGATGCGTGGCTCTACACCTGTAGGCTGCAAGATATAGTCCTTGAGTCTCAGGGTTCCCATCTGTGAAGTGGGGGCAAAAGGGTCCTTCTAGGGCAGAGGGGCATCAAGAGGAATGCAGGCCTGTCTTCTATAGACACTCACTCACTGTCCGTCTGTGACGTGGGCTGAGCGCCATGGTGTCAGCAGTAACCGAGATAACAGACCCTGCCATCATGGAACATTCTAGATGAGAGATGAAGAATGAACAGTAAGGTCTGAGGGTGGTAGATGCTCCAAAGACAATCTCCCAGCTAGAGTGATAGAGTGGGGGGACCCTGCTACCCATGCACACAGGGGAGCACCCATCACACTCCATAGAGGAGCAGCAAGGTCAAACCCAAGGTTGTGGCCGGCTCAGCACGTGGGGGGCATCAAGGTGGCTGGAGTAGAGTGGGGTGTTAATCAGAATGGATGGGACTCAGTGACAGAACATGGGTACAGCATGCATGAGGCCCTGGGTTCAATCCTCAGCATGGTAGTTCTCACAGGCTGGAGGCCAAGGGACGGGGTGGACAGGGGCACCATGGACCTCTGGGAATGTGAGACCCAAGAGCTGGGCTTGGTGAAGCCTGAACACCTAGGCCAAACCTAGTACCCAGGAGGGGGAGTGGGGGTGCCTGGAGTCACCCTGGGTGGAGTCTGACCTGGACCAGCAGAGGCAAGAGCGCCCTTCTGCTGCCAAGGAGCCTTGGGAGCCAGAGGAACATTAATGCTATCACAGCATCTGCAGCTTGTTTTCTCTCTCACTCCGCATTTCTGACACAGTATCTTCTAGAAAGAACACTGGCTGTGGACTTGGGCAGACCCAGGACTTAAAGCCCAACTCTGCCATAACCAAGTTGCATGACCCTGGGCAAGTCTGTAACACCCCTCTGAGCCTCTGAGTCCCTTCTGCACATCTCAGTAGATGTGAGGAGGCTGCAGGCGGCGACTCTTCAGGTGTCCCTGACCCTGTCTATGCAAGGAGAGTCAGCCTCAGTGGGTCACCTGAATGTCCCAAATGGGAAAGAATTCTGAGGCCCAATCTGATTGTAGGAAGATGAACCAAGATGCTTTGAAAGATAAGGGACAGGAGCAGACATCCCTTTAACAGCATGAAGGGGAGCAGCCCGGTGGGCCCATGTGCTGCTGCGTGCACAGCAGTGTTTGCTGACTCCTTCCTGTCTCCAGGGACCAGTAGGGATGAGCTGAGGTAAACGAATCTCCCTGAGCTCTCTGGCTCTTTAGTCATTTGCCTTGGGGGAGGGGTAGAGCAGAGAACAGGGTGGCTGGATCCCCTTCCCCAGGCCTGGGGCTCCATCCCAGCCTATGCTGCAGGTTCAACTGGGCCGTGAAACTGCTCAAGGGGAAAATGAGAAACTGCGGGGTTTCACAGGTGGCAGCGGCTGGGCTGCCGAGTAAGGCCTCTCCAGCTGCTAGCCACAGCGAATGGACAGACATGGGGGGTGGAGGAGGCCTCAGACCAGGAGTAGGTGCTTGCCACCCCCACCCTATCCCCAAGGTGTAGAGGTTGCAGGCTCACCAGGGTACAGATAGAAGGAAACCAGGGTGACCAGCTGGGCCCCCCTGATGGTTGTCTTTATTGAGCACTTGTGTGCTGGGTGCTCCTGACTTTGTCCTCACAGGATCTGATGAGGCCAACTGTACCACTGTCCTGTCACTGAGGTCATAACATGTGACCCTGTGGGAACAAGCTCTGCTACTCAATGCCTTCCTCTTTGCTCCAAACTCCAGCACTGTCCTCTGACCAATTTACAGTTTCACTGGCAGAAAGTCTATCTCCCTAGCCCACTGGGATGTGACAGGGACTTCGGGCTCTTGGACAGGTCACGACACCTCTCTGAGCCATTTCCTTATCTGGAGAAGACCTGCCTCGCTAGGGGGTACCTCTTAATGAGTTCATGCACCTGGGGGGCTTGGAGCAGGGCCAGCAAGACTTGTCACCCAGAGGGCCGGGGTTCCCATACAACCCAGGTGTGAAGAGAGTGTGGGCCACCTTGGGAGGTTCAGACACCTGCATGCTGGGGAAACTGAGGCTGAGCAACCATGAACTGTCCTCCCACCCTAGCCTGACCAGGAGCTCCATACACTGGCCTCACTTGAGCCCAGTGCTGATACCAATCATGACCTAGGTACCTGCTTGGGTAATAGACTGCTAACTTTTGTGTTTTTTTTTTTAAATTTTAAAATTTTTATTATTTTTATTTTATGTGTATGCATGTATTACTTGCATGTAGGTAAGTGCACCCGTGTCGTGCGATGCCTGTGGAGGTCAGAAGAGGCCGCTGGGTCCTCTGGGATTGGAGTTACGGACAGTTGTTAGCTGCCACGTGGGTGCTGGGACTCAAACCTGGGTCTTCTGCAAGAACAATCAGTGTTCTTAACTGGTTGAGAGCCATCTCTCCAGCCCCTTGTGTTACCTTTAATGTTGCCTAGTCTCACAGAAATGACATTGTGACTAGGGGGAAGGCAGGGAGGACACTTTGTCCATGCCTTACTTCTGTTTGGACTGGCTGTGGCTCGTAGGGCCCATGTGGGCTTCAGAAGG